ATTTTGCTCATCCTATTGTTGGAAGTAGCGTGAGGCCAGCCGTGTGGTTGGAAACTTACCTTTTGGCCGCTGCGTTGCCCATCCTATCGATGGAAAACTGACTCTCTCTCTCACACACACACACACACACACACACACACACACACACACACACACATAGTTCATTGAACGCGCGGCAACACATGCCAAATCAATATTCCACCTTATGTGCCATGATTATTGTAAATAGCACGGGCATTGATTACTAGCCTGTGAGAGGGACGGATTGACCTCCCATCATGAAGACCTAGCCCTAATGAAAAACGTTCTCGTCAACGACCATCAGCACACTCCAAAAAAAACATATCAAGCAGCGTCACATGGAAACCCTAAAACACCCTACCTCCTACCTAAGGAGCAATCAACTCCCAGTGTTGACTGAAACCTTGAGCCGGACAATTCCAATCAACAAAGGGGGCATCGACTATCCTACACCTCTCCGCTGCCAAACATCTAGGAGTGATTTAGCCTTACAATAGAAGGGCGAGGAGAAAATAAAACGTTTTTCCGGTTGTAATCCCCTCTTCCCCATCGTCGTCAATTCCCCATTCCTCTTTCCCGGCGATGACATTGCTGGTTTTGGTAGTGTTGCCAATTCTGATGTTTTTGGTATTGTTGTTATTGTTGTTATTGTTGTTATTGTTGTCATCATTACTGTTGTTGTTCCTATAATTGTGTTTGTTGTCGTTGTCGCCAGTAACACTGCGGACATGATTATTGTTGTTGGAAGCGCTGATGAAGAAGATGCACCTGTAGTCCTCTTCCCCATCATCGTCAGATCCCCTTTCCCCTCTCCCTGTGATGATATTGTCGGTTTTGGTGTCGTCACCGATGCTGATATTTTTTATTTTTTTTTTGTCATCATCGTTAGTGTTGTTGCTGCATTTGTCTTGGTTGTCGATGTCACCGCTCGCGTTGCGGGCGCCATTATTGTTGTCGAAGATGCTGTTGATGATGATGCACCTTACATTTCTCTGATTTTTGTTGTTGCGGTTATTGCCATGGTTATCTCCACCGCTGCTGTTGCTGTGAATGATGATGGCGCTGTTATTATTGCTGCAGGCATTGAATCCTTGATTGTCGTCGTAGCCGTCTATGTCACTGATGTAGATGTTGTTGGTGTTGCTGATGTTGGCGTTGCCACCTTTGTCGCTGCTTGTGCCTCCTTCCACTCCTTTTCACCTTCCAGCCGCTCCTCCAGCAGATTGCACAGATTGCGACCCTCAGTGAAGAGGGCCTTACAGGTAGCCAACATGCTATCTGCTCTCGTCCAATTGATGCGAGCCTCGAGCTGGGGATGCGGCATCTCCTCCAGCTCCCAGATGATATTCAGCATGTCGTCGGCCGTGTCGTTCAACCAATCAGCCAGAGAGATTGCCCCCCCTTCGATCTCCGACTCTTCCTTCAACAGCAAAGACAGCTCCTCCACGATCTCCTGTAACTGCCCGCATCCCTTCTCCAAGGTGATCAACCATTCATCCCCTCCACGTTGTAGCTCCCCTACCATATCCATGTCTTGCCCAGAAAGTTGCGCCGCTATTGTGTCTCGTCGTCGATATCACTTCCGACGCTACCGCTGCCTGCACGTCACGGGAAACCCCTGTCCCCGACAACAGATGCCACGTGGCTATCAAGTAGTCACGCACGTCTGTCGGGCGCACGCACAGGCCTAGTGGTCGAGAAGCTCCCCTCCCCGGACGCTAGTCTAGTCGGAGAGACCAGGCCTTGCCAATCCGCCAGCATTAGGGTGCTAGCGCTAGCGCAACTCTGAACCATACATTCTTTAGACCTGGGTCTCTGGCGTTTCCAGAACATTGTACGCCCTTACCCCCTAACCCCCTAAACCCCTCCTACCACATTACCTCCCCTGCTACTTTTGGGGGTATGTCGTCTTAAAAATGTCGTTCTCCCCTCCAGCGTTCTTAAAAGATGTTACCCAGTTACCCCAACCCCCCCCCCCCCCCCCTCCCCCTCCCCTCCCCGCTTGTGGGTCTGGCATTTTCTGATATGGTTGCCCTTTAACCCCGACCACCCCCTACCATCTTTCAAGTTGGGGGACCGACATTTTGGAAGCACAGTGCCACATTGCCCCCTATCCCCCCAATCTCATTCGAGGGTCCTATGTTTTGAAATCGTAGTACCTCATTACCAACAAATGTGGCCCCTTTCAACATTAATGCAGGACCCCCCGAAATGAGGTTGAAGGGGTAGGATGCAACATGTTCCCAACACTGCAGCCTTACATACGATCTAGAGGTTGGGAGCAGGGCATTCCGACATTTTGAAAACGTCGCATCCAAATGTAATACGACGGTTCGGGGTAAGTGGGTCAAACATTTTAAAAATGGCGGCCCCTCAAATGTGGCAGGGCAGGGATAGGGGGGTCTGACATTTCCAAAACGTCGAGCCCCCAAATTTTGTTGTGAGGGGGAGTGTAGGTGGTAACGGGAAATGACATTCTCAAAACATGGACCCCCGAAGGGATAATATAAGGGAGTGTGGGGATCGGGGTTGAGGGGAGAGAGCGGTTTCTAAACGTCAGATAACCAGATGGAGTGGCACATTTGTTGCGGAGGGTAAGTGGTAAGGGTGTGCTACTTGTTGGAAATGTTGGATCTCTGAAGGCAGTGCGGGGGTAGGGGTTGAGTGGGTTCTGTATTTTCTAAACGTCGAACTCCCAGATTTGTTCGAGCGGATAAGATAAAAGTATATGATTGTCCTTACTGGGATGATAGAGAGGGTTGTCACGTGGGAATCCCCGGTGGCCGAGCCGGGGTCATAGTTTGACCCCCGGAACCCCGACGCAGGGATCCCCAACCGTATGTGCATTTAGTTGCCATCATCACATGTGCAGGCATTGGATGTATGCGAGTACATCAAAATCTTCTTCCTATACAGCGAAGGTAAAAAGATGATAGAAATGAGATATTTTTTTGCATTGAACATCTAATAAGATGCGCACACTCTTGTTAACTTGATTATATATTACCAAACCTTGCAATTAATCGAGAGGGAAATCAAATGATGGTATTTTTTTTATGCCTTGTGAGAAGTTGTGACACTAATTTCCTCAACATAGTTAAGGAATTGGTTAAAAAAATTGACAAGAATCATAAAAGTTCTTCAAATTGGAACGTATGTGGAATTGAAAAACGTTAGACCTTTACCGGAACTCGCAGTGAATCGAGAGGGAAATCAAATCATGGTACTTTTCTGATGCCTTGTGACACTAATTTTCTTAAAATTTTAAACAGCTAAGGAGTTGGTTTAAACTTTTGGCAAAAATCGTACGAACTCTTCCAGTTTGAACTTACGTGCAGTTCAGAAATGATAGACCTCTAAAAATCATTCTTGTGCTTCCAAGTTTAGCCAATTTCACCATGTTTTCCGGTAAATGCAACCGGAGGTAGCCACCATAATGTGATAGTTTAATTGTGTGAAAACCTAGGCTGTGCCGGAAACAAGCTGGTTGGATCGGACCGGATCCAATCGGTCTAGTTGGACCCCCGGTGGTCCAACTGGAATTCCGGTTTGACTGAAAAGTGGGTCAGAATTGTTTGTTTGTTTTTTCACAAACATGGTTGGACTGCGCTCGTCGAGATCTCCCCGAATTTGCAAAGAAAACTTTGAACAGAAAAGTTTTGTTTTATGTGTGTGGGGGGGGGGTTGGGGGAGGAGGGCAGCGGGGGAACAATTTTACGAATTGTTCTCCCTCCTTATCTCTCTTTCTCTCTCCCTCTCTCTCTCTCTCTCTCTCTCTCTCTCTCTCTCTCTCTCTCTCTCTCTCTCTCTCTCTCTCTCTCTCTCCCCCCCCCYCCCCCCCCAACCAACCAATCAATCAATCAATCAATCAATCCGATCTCCCATGCATCGAGAAGACGTCTGTTGAGAGAAATGTCGAATAATGAAAACAAACCTTACTGGGATAATAGCTCACGGTAGGGCACCTTCGCTCTTCGTTCACACATGGTTCTCGTACTTGTCGCACAAATCTAACTCTGTCGTCATGTCCATTGCCAAAGTTTTGAGAGATGTACAAGCACGCGAAGGCGCGCTCCCCCCCCTGTTGCGGGTGCAAACGGACAACTGTGGGGGTCACAACAAAAATAAGTACGTGTTCGCCTTCATGGCCATGCTTGTCAAGTTTCGTATCTTCGAGGTCGTAGAAATGGGATAGTGGGGCACACACATACTGACATAGACACAAAGTTCAACTTATTCGCGAAAAAACTGTCCGATTGCGATGCTTACACCATGGACGAGCTCTTCACTGTCCTGCAAGCATCATGCGAGCAGGATGTCGATTGCACTCTCCTCACTGAACTGACTGACTGGAAAAACGCCATTGACCCGTTCCTCGATCACAAAATCAAGGGGCATGCCAAGCCGCATCTCTTCAAATTCTTCATGGATGGGGACAACCTTGCAATGCTGTACAAAGAGCATTGTACCAAAAAAAAGTGGGAGCTTGAGACTGACGTTGTGTACTTGTTTAAAAAGGGTGCAGACAACGAGTGGTCGGGGCCTCTGTGGGGTTTCCAGTAGTTCCGCGAGTCGCCTAACCCGTAGGGAGACGATTTCGTTAACGAAATTGCGGGGGTTCGTGTTATGCAAAAGTCATGGGAAATTCGCAGAACGAATGAGAGAGGCAAGATGAACACACAGGGGCGCTGAAATATGCACGACTACGGTACAGGACCGACCATTTCAACGAATTTGAAAACATATCGGAAGAGGACAGTCGTACGGTGCCCCTGCAAAGTGCGTTCTTCCCTGCACCAATGCCTGAAAAGGAAGATGTCATGCCAGTTGCTCCGCATGTTATCGACTCGCCGACGAGGAAACCTTGCTTTGTAGGTTACAAGAAAGATGCCCCGAAACCAGAGTTCAAACCGCACGAGGTCGTAGCTGTCAATAACTTGTTAGTGTTCCGTGTACCGGACGATTACGTCGCAAAGGGGTGCAAATTTTGGATAGGACGTGTTATGGAGCGGGATGACAGTCGTATCCGCGTCCAGTATTGGACACCTTGAGGAAGGGATCGCGACTTGGCAAAGCTGTATGCAGATTCATGGGCAAAGGCATGGAAGGCCGAAACTGAATCTGACGACGACTGTCAAGACCTCGACGTCGTTGTGTGGGTATGGGTCAACAATTAACGCTCTGAGACAGGTATGCGGATCCTTAAGCGAGAGGCTCTTAATGCACAGTTGTCGCTGGTCGTCCCTGACAAGGAGTCTGCATCAACGCAAGATACGATATCTGTTTCAGACACATCTGTGTAGACGTGATGAGGGAAGGGGTATGAGTGAGGATCATCTGTTCAATACGAACAACATAGAGCACATGGCTAATTGTTCGATTGGATTGCATTTTTCTGTCATACTCGTTGTCTTTAGAATGTCTGCATTGCCGGAATGGAAGCGTAATGAGAAATAGGGGACGCCGGTGAAATGGGAAGACCTCCTATCATGGAAAACAAGAATGCAAATGAGGGTTGTCGGCGTGGAAGCAGTCGACTGGTGTGCATTGGAGCCCTCGATTGAGTTGTGGTACGACGAGGAGTGCCTACAAGTTTACAACCTCGCTAACACGGTTCAGCCTAATGCAAACAACGAAAGGCAAGGCAGTGGCGAATGGACCAAAGCGTTTTACGAGTTGGGGTTTGTTCACATGCGGGGGTAGAACGGGCGTGACGGATCAGTGACATGCGTGGCATTTTGTTCAAACGGTGGCCTGACAGAGTGCACGACACGGATTGAACGAACGAAGGTGTCTTTGATGGAGCAAGAGACCAACATGCAAAGGGCGATGTTGAAGTATGTCAGACATATATGCAACGAATCAGAGACGCAATACTGCATTGTATCAACGAAAGGTCGAGGATCGCCATTCACGTGGCGACGACTTTAATCACATGCCACAACGAAGAAGGGAAAAAACAAAAACTGAAAAAAACTAACACAATAATAAAGTTCAATATTGTCGATCATATTCGACGGCATGAAAGTGACAAACGAAACAACTTGCAGTCCGTCTTGCTTTGGTGTCCGCATTGACTGCCGCTCCGCAACCACATTAATCACTCTCTAATGACCCGTATAAGCATGCGAGGAATGACAATGACTCTCTGGACTTATGCAAGCGGTGCGTTCTATTCCATACTTTATCCCTAATTGTGATGTTTATGTTTTTTTTTTTTTTTTGCCCCGTACGGTATGGACCCTGAATGGATGAAGAGGCAGATGAGACAGGATTGGTGGGAAACGCCGATCAAATGAGCGGAACTTACATCAGACCGGTTGAGGAGACATTGTAATGCCGTCGGACTTATCACATGAGATTTTGCATATTACGAACAGTCACTGCACTTGTATCCTCTAAGCGCAAGAAGAAAGATTTACAACCTCGTGAAGGTGTGCGTTCGTCATAATCATTATAAGAACGGCAGGAACGCAACATATAAGGAAGTCTTTTACGGTTACGGCCTAGTGACTGTCAGGCTGACAGAGAAGTGCAGTGCCAATATTGCA